GGTTTCCGGGTCATAGGATGGAGGACGGATGGGCGAGGAGACGAGGAGGGATATTGAGAAGCACAGTGTTTAAGCATCCTGAGGAGTCATGAAGAGGATACTCAGGTCCATCCTTCTCTCGCATCCTAAGGGGGTCGAGCTCAGATGCGAGAAAAGTAAGCGAGAAAAGGAAACGAGGATGCACAAATATGAAATGAGAAGCATCCTCTAATTGCACCGCGAGGAGGTTTTGAACGAGGAGTGTGGAAGCTTTTAAATGAGCTTACAAGGCAGTAAGGAGAAAGGCAGAGCAAGGATTCATAGGTGTATCCTACAGAATTCTTTCTTGTTGTATTCTGAATGCCATGCATCCCATAGTTCTCGATCCCCATCAACAAGAAACTAAACTCCTTATCAAGGAATATGATGCCAATCTCTTTCATCCAGGGCCAGAAAGAGTCCTTGCAGAGCTCAGATGTCACTATTGGATTTAAAGAGTCAGAGCAGCCATGAAGAAACATCAACTCATCTGTGTTGAATGTCAAAAGTGGCATGCCCAACCTAACATCCCCATGATGGCAGATCTCCCACCAGTTTGTCTTTACAAGACCCCCTTATATTCCACTGAATGGACTGTTTTGCCCCATTTACCGTAAAAATAGGACGACAAACTTAAAACAGATGGGTAAAATAGTCTTCAAGTGTATGATCACCTGATGCCTCCATCTGGATCTACTTGAGAGTCTCCACACTGATGTGTTCTTGATGTCTCTATGGAGATTTTATAGCTAGAAGAGGGAAGCCTTTCGAGCTCTTCTCTGATAGTACCACATTTGTTGGAGGGAACAGAGATTAAAGAGGCCTACAAAGCTATGGCGCCTTGATTAAAGGATCAGTTAGCTGAACATAAAATCTTTTTCACATTAAGTCCTCCACATTTTGGTGGTATTTGGGAGAGAAGAGTAAAATCAGTGAAACAAGGCTTGAAAGTAATTGTAAAGGAACAGGCGAGTCCCTGAAACCATCCTCCGCACTGTTCTCACTGAGGTGGAGGGCATTGCGAATGTCAAGCGTATCATCGGATATTACAGACCCAGACCCAATCACGCCCAGCATTCTGCTCATAGGTCACCATGACTCTTCTCTCCCATAAGTAATGTATGACTCCAGCAATCTTTTGGGAACTAGGAGATGGAGGCCTAACCAAATAGTTGTTGACCAATTCCTGGCTATAGATTATTAATCACTATCTGCCAAATCTCCATGAAAGACAAAAATGGCAAAAGAACAATGACAAGCTCAGGGTTGACCAGTGCTCATCATGGACCCACAGCTTCCACAAGCCCTCTGGCCAGTGGGCAAGGTGACCCATACCTTCCCTGGACATGCATGGACGTATAAGTACAGATGCAGTTCAGGTTCAAGATCAGACTTATGTTAGGCCTCTGGCTTGGTTAATTCCTCTTCCCAAACTTGGATGATGACAACACCAATCCTTCCAGTTAGGAAGGACTTTCTACCAGGTTCAAATGTCCCAAGCAACATTTGGTGGCGGCTATGTACCAAAGCCCAACAATGCCCCCTGAAGGTATCTGTTTGTATATCTTTATTAATGCTTGAACATATAGGCAAGTCAAGATATGCCTGAACAAATATCAGGGGACAGTCTATATGTATACAGGTGGAGAGACTTGTTTTTGTTTTTGTTTTTTGCACGATATGGACTGGCACGATATGGACTGGTGCATGTTTGTTTTTCCTCTCCTAATAAAAATAATAATAGATATTTTTTTGGGGAGTTAGTTTTTTTTACACATGAATAACAAACTGATCAACTGATAAGAATGCAAATGTGTACCTTGAAATGCAATGTAAGTCGGTTTGGATAAAAGCGTCTGCCAAATGCATAAATGTAAATGTAAACTATAGTTGGCTAACGATGCTTTCGGGAAATGCACCCTAGATAAGCAATAATATTTTGTTATTATTAAGTCGTTCGGTTCATTTATGGAGCGAAGCTAAATGTTCATTTTATATTAGCCTAAAATTAAACAGTTACATTCTTTAATGAATTATTTTGAAAGACAAAACAAAACAAAAAACCACAGCAGCGCTGAGAACCATCCTCGTGTTCTCTGTAAGCCCCTAGAGCTGCTTTCCTTTACAGTTTATCCTTGTCCAGACCCGTCATATATACTGTTTATTGCGAGGAACTGTGCATATTCGGAGGCAATAACACATTTTTTTTAGCTGTATTTCTTGAATAAACAGCCTTGATTTGAATAAAACCCTTGCAGTCAACAATTGTTGTCATTGTTCTGTGATATTCTACAGCGTGTGTCATAACAGAATTCCCTCAGATATACTGTACCTCTGCTTTTTCAAGACAATGCTTGACCTCCCTAAACGCTAGCATATTGCTGCAGTTTACATTCAATGCATTATTATCAAAACATTCTTTTCGTTAATATAGGTTCAAAAATTGTTTTTAAGAACAGTAAAAAGTAACCAATGCTTATGGGGTTAAATGATTAAAAAATGTTTGTTTAATTAAAAGCAGCGCATTTAATCAGTAAAAAAAAGTAGTTTTTTAGCCTATGTGTTAGGTGCAGACTTTTTTTCGTATAACAAAAAAATGAACATGTTTTTTTAGACCTCTTTGTTTAAACACCGACTTGACATTTTATGACATTTTATGACATTTTCATGTATAAAATGTTGTGAAAGCACTACAGCTTCAAATATAAATTGTGCCTTCTCTTTCTAAAAGCAGAAAGAATCTCGGTTGAAGGAACAATCACTTGCGTGTTGCGTCTGCCTTTGACTGTCTCTAGACTGGACGAGTTTTTGACACAGCGCAGATGATCCTTTCCCTTGTGAAAAGTACACTTTAGCATAGGCCTACTTTTAAAAAGAGGGCTTAAGGAAATATTACACAGTCAACATTTGAAGTGGATCAAAACATTTCATCAAAGTTATACATATTGAACAATACCGGTTCTTGTCTTAGGACAAATCTGATCAACTTTTTTAACCACTTCAAATGTTAACTACTGTACTTTAAAAACAAGTACAAATTGTACACTTAATTGGATGTTATTTTCAATTAGATTAAAATGTAGTTTAAATTGATATGCAATTAGTTGACTATATAGACTATTTTAATTACTTTAAAAATAATGTAATAATTATATTGTATTTGTTAAAAGTCCGTGCCCTGACATAGACTACGTTACCCATAATGCATGCGTTCGTTGTAGTTCCGATCGCTCGTGGTTACGCTAGGCGCTTTCACTTTGGTGTAGTCCAGTCAGTGCTATGAGAGCAGTATTCACGATGCAGAGAATTGCCATCCTTTGTTTATCCTGCGCGAATCTTGTGTGTATGAGTGCTGTGTGCGTCCTTAAGATGTAAGTACGGCTTTTGCATGAATGACTCGTTTATTGCAGAGTTATTAGCCCAGATGGCGAAGTTGTTATACTCGTGTTATTCACTACTGCTATACGGCTGTTGCCGTTACGGCGCTCCATATGCGCTACGGCGCTCCATATGCGCTCATAAAGTAGCCATTTACTGTATATACTTTAGTTATTGCCTTGTAAATAACCGTAAATATTATATTTAATGTATAGTTCGCCTATTTTGGCACTTTTCACCATGTGGAGATTTATGGCATCTATGCAAGTTAATTTATAGTGTTAGAGCGCCCACTAGTGGATTTTGGTCGTACTGCGGGTCATTTCTTTATGCAACTATATGTAACCATAGCCTACATGTTTATTAATATACATTTTATTGTATTTTCTGTTTCAGATAACCACACATACACACACACACACCTACAAACACACCTATTTTGTCATATTGATACCTGTAAACCATCATCATTTCCATGTACCTGACTTCTCCTCAATAAATACTAAAACTGCATCATTGGATTTGCCTATTCCTTCTGATCGAGGAAGACTCAGTTGACGAGCAATCCATAATCAGCCTCAGACGCACACGGTCTCTTACAGTATTTGAAATATGGTTAACGTGTACTGTCAAATGTAGGCTACTGATAAGGCTATGTTAAACTAAGATATACATCAATGCCATTTATCTTGATGCTTTTATGTCATGTATTTAAATATGTTTGTAATTACAAATTTGTAATGATGAAGTTGCAATTCAGTATATATCAACGTCAGTATATGTGTTCCCTTCAAATGTATATCAAATAGGCCTAACATGGCTATAGTTATAATAAAGTACTTTATATGTGCTTTAGGTCAACACATCAAAATAAGTCTATAGGCCTACTTCTTTAAAGCATTATGACAGTAGATGATTATTGATCTTGACATAATAATTTTTTTTTTTTTTTTACTTTTATGTAAAACGTTAAATTACAAAGTGCATTTTTAAAAAGTGTACCGAACTGTACTCTCTATATGTACACTTACATTTCATTTTATTTCATTTTCACATTACTGTTATTTAGTTTTTAAGATTTGAAGTGCACTGCAAATGCACATCCAATACAATTAAGCACATTTCTTTTTCACAAGAGTTATCACCACCTATGACAAATTATTGTTTATGTAGCCTATTGTTTGTTTAAATTAAACCTTGACTTGACCGAAAAACAACATTCGTAGTCATTCATATTCACATCTGATTTACTGGATTTTTTTAACATTATATGCGAGTTTGAACATTATGCGAGTATTAGTGATGGTTTATTTTCGGGGTTTTTTTCTCTCCAAATATTAATGCACATCCAATCGTGTAGGCTAATCATTTTTGCGTCTTCACGGCATATGGAGAACGCAAACAATAAAATGTTGCGAAGAGATTTTTAACACCGTTGGTTTTTTAGCAGCTTGTTGAAGCAGAGCCAGTAATTATAATAATTATAACATCCTTATAGAGGTTAATACTGTTGCATTGAAAGATACAACATAACGAAACATGCTTTTTCATTGTCTCCGAGTTAACGCAAATGTTTGTGTGTATTTGCACAGCATATCGGAGAAACATTCACTCTATACACAACTATACACAAATATCGGCTCCGTTTGCTTTCAAAAGTCACATAATTTTTGTCCTTCGAAGAAAAGTTCACAGTTCACAATAGGGGGGTTCCAGAAAAATATTGCAGGTGAATTCCGCTTAACTTCTTTTCCTTCATCCGTCTATTCTGGAACCAAATCTTGACCTGTCGGTCAGTGAGGTTTAACATGCTGGAGAGCTGAAGCCGTTTCTCTTTATTGATGTAAACATTAAAGAAGAATTCTCGCTCCAGTTCTCGGATCTGAAACTTGGTGTATGGACATCGCTTCTTCCTCACTCGTGGGGTAGCTAGCAATTCAACAAGAAAGAGAGAGGTCAAAACCACAGCAATGCTATAATCAAATGATCAATTATTGGCTTGATTTCATTATGGATGTATCACTACCAGCTACTTTAATAATGAAAAACAACAATATTAGTCACAGCCTATGTAGCCTATTTGTTACTTAATTAACCTTTCCCCCCATAAAAAAAGTAAAATATTAAATATATGAATAACTTTGGCAGTGCATTTTATGTCACGTGCCACCATTAATAGGCTAATAGTTAATGACGTTTTCAACAAAACATAGAATAAATGGAGAGAACGATCTTGTATTAGTCTACTCTACAGGCTATTCAAAATGATACACTATTGCGAAGTAACGGGTTTGTTTTCCATGTACTGCATTTCTCAGAATAAAGTTATTTTCAAAAATGCATTACACTTTCTGCTAAATTATAGAATTATACTTTCGAACGGTTTTTGCTGTGGTGGGTTTTACTTACACTGGCTTTCCTCTTCTCAGATGCTAAAAAGCAACGTTCTGCTCAATTGCTTTTTATTATTGGCTGCTATAAGTAACATCCCTCAAAACGTTCGGTACAAGTTCATGATCAAAGTTACTATTTGTCACCATTGCTTCCTCGCACAATTTCACAGACTAACACATTGTGTGAAACATGATGTTTTTTCAAAGACCTTTCCCATTGTAAAAATTCTTCCCGCTCACAGAAAAAGCTTTGTAGCCAGGTTATAATAAAACCCCTTGAATGCTTATAAAACTCCACATAAAATCTAACACGGAACACCGCTCTATAGCCAACATTTGACTGCGACGAACACATACGAACCGGATTTTGTTTGGTTGTCGTTTTTTGTCCCCGAGGTCCTGTTTTTCTCATGCTCTTTCTCTACATCTCCAGCACTGACGAGGACTGAAGACTCAGGCTTTCCAGAGCTGCCTTTCTGCAAACCGTTATCTTCCAATCCGCTATTGGAACAGTCCAAAAAACGACTTAAACTTTGCGGAAAAACGTTGGTCTTTCCAGTGCTGGAGTAAAAGCCAGTGCTGGAATGGTTAATACCCGGGTGATAGTGGTGGTGACTGTAGACATTTTCGTTCTTCATCCACTTTTCCGTCATGGCTGGCGGAGGAAGGCAATCTCTGTCCTCCTCCGCATAAGAGCAATAGTTCCCCCTATGGTGCCACTTACCCGACTGATTCAACTCATATGATAAATCCCTGACTGGCGGAACTTGCGTGAAGTTAGTGGAATACGAATATGTGATTTGCCGTGACTGGGCTTGTGGTAAAAGCGAAGAAACGGTAGAACATTCTGGGGCGTAATAGGTTATGGGGAGGAAGAGTTTCGAGGCGCAGTCCGCCCGCTCTCCAAACTCGGAAGTCCTTTGTTTACAAGACTGGGAGCAGAAGTTGCCTAGATTGAAAGAGTTAAACATTATACCCTTCAGTTGTCCGGTAGCCTAGATCAAAATGAATGCTTTGGATCCGAACAGAAGAAAAAAATTGGGAAGGCGAGATGATGACGCGCTATATCCCACCACTAACTCGCACTAAGACACGTGATCGAAAGTTGATATTCTCTTATATCAATTTAGAAACGTTTCACACGTTGGAGTGGTTGACTCAAGGTAAAGACGGCTGAAATGACTGTTTCAAAGACGACGAGATCATGGTGCTCTGGCGGTATTAGTCCCCCCCCCCCCCCCCCCCCCACTACATAATATTTCAATCCAATGTAGCCTACTTGTAATGCCATATTATGGTAGGCCTAATAGTCTACACATTTGCAGGACAGAGAGTTACAATTTTCAATAGTATTCAAAAATATTGTAATTAATGTGCCTTGAGTGCATAAATAGAATTATGGCTTTCTGCCCTCATTCATAACAAGAGTTAAATCTCCATAATTATGTCATAATACAATGATGATGATATAGCCCATATAGCAAATTTTATAATCATAAATCATGAAGTTGCATAAAAACCTTCATGATAAAAATATAATTCTATGTAGGCCTATATATGTGCGTCTTTTTGTCTCTGAAAAACAACGTAGGCCTAATGGATTATTAATTGTATTTGGGTTGGTTAGGTTTTCCATCCACTGCACTGTCGCCGTTATCTAAAACGAGGCTGTATCTGTTCCTGGAGGCACACCAACACTACACATTTTCCAACTCTTCCTAATCGCTCACACCTGAATCAACTCATCAGCTCGTTAGTAGAGACTGCAAGACCAGAAATATATGGGTCAGAAAAGGGAGACATCCAAAATGTGCACTGTTGGTGTGCCTCAAGGAGCAGGGTTGGGAAACACTGATCTAACCAACCCGATCACCCAAAATGCGTCTCTATAGCACGCATTGTGTTTATCGTGCAATTTATACGCGAAAATGAGTTTTTACGTGCATAGGATACGCATGGGTTGGTTAGGGTAGGTTTAGTAGTGGTGTGGGGTGCGTGTGTAGGCCTATTATAGGCTACGTTTGGGTAGAATTAGTGGTGTGGGGTGCGTGTGTATTACACGCAAATGAACTGCGTATCAAATGCACGCGAAAACTGCGTATCATGCACGTAAAAACTAATTTATAAATTGCACGATAAAACACAATGCGTGCTATAGAGACGCATTTCTCTAACACACCTGATCCATCAAGATAATCAGCTCATTTGAGCTTCATGACAAGAGAGGCATACACAATGTGCTGTGCAGGGCCAGGCACATGCACGAGAAGGCCGGTGTAAAAGTCCAACCCGATCTCACGGCAATCATACGTATTTCACGAGATGGCTAATTCATACGAATTCATACGACCTCACTCGAACGAATTCGTACGAAGTTTGCTAAATGTTCATATTTTTCAAGTTTCTCAATTCGTATGAATTCGTACGAATGACCTATACACCTTACCTCGCCCCTAAACCTACACATCACTGGGTTTAGACAGCTCGTACACACTCGTAGTCGTAGGGCTACGAATTGGTCGAGTCTGTCATTTTCTATTTAACAAACAACCGTGTTAGAGAGCTAACTTTGCAAGCTGTCTGTTTCATTGAGGCAACTCTGTCATATGTTATCATAAAACAAGCACTACACATGGCAGGCGTGTGAAATTATGTTATTGTCTCTCTAGACTCACATCATTTTAATTGGATGTTAGTCAAACTTTTCATCTTGCTTGCTTGAACTGTGAACAGTTTCAAGTATTAACTAGGGCCGTGTGTATAACAAAAATAATAAGGTCAAGAGTAAGTGAGCAGCAGCAATCGGCAACGACTTTTAAGAGCTGGACCATCATTTATATATAGCAATAGCACATTTGCATTGAAGCTGGCGACGAAACAAATGCCAGGTCAAGACTGACACGCAATATACTGTTGGGCCTATCGGGATGGTGATTACAATTTGACTAAATAAATTCTTCCTTTCTGGTCAATTTTATTTAAAACAAAATTAAATAAAATGATAACAAGCCTCTAATAAAGTGTATTACATTTTTATTAATTTAGACAGACTTTACAGACTTGGCTACAAGTTAGAACTTCCGAATGGTGTTGGTTATATTAATTGTTATTTTAAGCTGATGTTGTTGTTAAAGACACGTGATTCAACTCAGTTTAGTTCAAATCAGCTCGTTAGTAGAACAGCCACCAAGACCTGAACAGATCATCGAACACATAAAAGAATACCGTCGCTTACTATTTTTGCCTGAGAAGTATGTGAGCTATTCTGAACCCTGCCGTTTAAAATTTGTAGCCTACTATTTCTGTACCTCCAGGGACTGTATTGGGAAACATAACAAGGATCCGATGTGCTCACAATATAATTTAGTTGAGAATTAGAATTAGAATAGAAATATTTTAAACATCGCAAGCTAATAAAATTGAAGGAATAATTCCTGCATTAGAATATGAGCTTTATTTATTTTAATTTATGATTGCATTCGCTGTAAGTTAGCTATTAGGCCTACAGAAGCGTAAATGTATGAAATGTTAAACTTTAGTACAAAAGTTAAGATACTAACCAGTGATGAGCAATAAAACAGATGTGAGCAACGTAAGGTTGAAATGGGTGTAATTGGAGAACTTTTGAATTAAATAACAATAATTCTTTAGGCGGGAAATTAAACGTGCGTTGTGTTCCTTTCTGTTTAAAATGGAGTTCTAAGAACGCCGCACGTGCATTTACTCCCCACAGGATTCGGTTGCAGTAAGTCATGCACCCCGTAGTTCTCCTTTATGATGTTTAATTTCCTCCTCTACTTCCTACCGTTTTAAATTCAGAGAAAGAGTGCCGGTGTTTGAAGTTGCATTCAGAATCACTTCATATAGTAGCCTATATGTATGCCCTGTTCTCCCTGCAAAATTGTTTCTTCCTTCCAATATATCCAAAGCCATTTTCCTGTCACACTAAATTAAGTTGATTTTTTTTATATCGTCTTCCTTCTCTACACTGACAAAACAAATCGAAAACCTAAACTCTAAAACTCCTAACCAAAGTCTAAACTCAACAGATCGTTCTTTAGGGTTTCAGTGGTGGAGATGTTGTTGAATGTTATTTAATAGAAACGTACAAGGGCATGCTTTTCTAAAACCGTTTTATTATTTATTAACCTTAATTTAAAATCCTCAAGATGATCAAATAGAAAAAATGTCATTGATTAGTACGCTAAATGAGAAAATAACAAATTAATCTTCTCTCAGGTAACCTAAAATGTGCTTACATTATATAGGGTTATGGTTAGGGTTAGTCAAAATTACATTTGATTTAAGTTACAAATTAGGTTACAACAAAAGTTTATACATCAAAATAAACTTGAAAACATAGGCCTATCAATCCATTGCCCAATCCTCCTAAAAATCACAGACATGTTTATGTTCAGTAAAACCGTTTAATACGGACCGACATACCTTTAATAACAGCGGCACAATGCAGATTATTCCTAATAAACCGCAGGAATCCTTTTATTCCCTCGTGCTTTTAGTTTCAGGACACAAAAACGAGTGATAATGAGAGGAAATGAGACTAGAAACATAAAATATTATATCTCAGAAAGTTTCTTAAATTGCATTCGACTTAGTTCGACTTACAACAACAACAATAACAGTATTTACTATTAGTAATATTAATCTTTCAGGTCGGCACTGTTTTACATAATGTTCAGAAACAAGTCAAGAAATGCTACATGCTTAGAAATAAATATATTATTACAATGTGTTTATCTGATGAACGTATTTTCTTTGTTACATAAAATATAAATACTTGCTTTAATCATCAAAAAATGTATGACAATGAACAATGAACCGTATGCCTGTAATATACTAGATTAAACTATTTCTGCCAAAATTGTATAAAATAAATTAAAATTAGTCTTGTTTTTCAGTGTTAAATGATTTTTTTTTAAATGCATTTAATCTGTAGCCTACTATTAAGATTCACATGTAAAAGGTTGAAACCTAAGTTTTTTTCTGTTTAGTTTTGTTGTTGTTAGGTAATATATTTATTTAGGTTGGTTAGATGATATCATATTTTTTTACCTAAATATAAATAAATTCGCAGGTTATTTGATTTAATTGTCATGCTATTATTTTTTGTCCTATGTTGCTATCGCAAAATCTGTGACAATGATGTTTCCTGATTTCTATTTAATACAGTTAAAAAAAACATTCTTGTATGCCAGTATTTTTTTTTCTTTTTGGATCAGGAAGCTAAATGAAAATGTTGAGGAAGACATCTCAATGTTTACTCCATCTTCTTCTCTCACTCCTCCCACTGCCACATTCAAGGTCGAGTCCAGCACAGTCAGAGGCTGTAAAGAGCCCGAGTGTCTCAAAGTCGAAACCTTTATAACAAGGACATCTATTGTGGAAAGACAAATGACTGAGTGCAATCATCATGCAATGCTGACGTCCAACAATGTATTTTTTACAATTATGTACGCAGAAGCATTAGGCTATCAGCATTATGTTTTACACAACCTCATAACAGGACATTAGTAGGCTACATAAAAAAAACATGGTTGTCGGGATGAGAAATGTTACATTTGAGCGTGTTAAAAACAAACTTCCAAAATGTTCATAATTCTAGCAAATTTTGGCTATTTCACGAAACCTATGCCTCATGTAGCAAGATCAAATGTTAATTTTCAGTAGGATATAATTTAGACTGCTAAAACTATAGCTAGAAATACAGTTATGTCAGATACAGTGAAGAAACGTTAGGCCATAGACAATAACAGAGAACAGATAACAGTTAGGTAATCACATTTTATTGGAAATTAATTTGAACGCTTAGTCCTGATACAATCATTTAATTCTTATTGGTGTGGCAGACATTTGCCACCCCAACATCAGGAAGACATTGCACTGATTATAAAACGCCATTACCCAACAGTAGTATTATAGCCTACACTGCTATCATGTACTCCTTTTTAACAAATATATCATTAACACAGAGTTCCTCGAGGAAAGCACAACTGACCGCACTGAGAAAGACGGCAGTGAGTGAATGTTCGAGCGTTTATCACATGCAAATATCACAACAATAGTATAGGCTTACTAGTAGGCTACTTGCTAAAGCCTGGCACCGTCCATGCTGTACTTTGGTCTGGACTACAACGAAGAGACAAAGAAGATCATAATTTAATCTTGAACTATAAACTTAGAAGCCTCAATGCCGCCAGGAGGCTCTGATAAAAGCTAATAAAGCCTCTTTGTCCCTTTACCCTGGCAATCTGCAGTTAACAGATTTGACAAGCATCTGCACATGACTGTTATGTTTAGGAGTGGGGCTAGGGGAGCATGCAGTTGTAAATTATATACATTCAGTCGTGAGATCAGGTTGGTCTTTTCTATTTTACGCATCAACTATTTCGTTTAAGCTGTGTGCACGGTTATACTAAAAGTCCAGTCAAGCTTCAATGAGAATTAGCTTGGAAACCGCGAACTGATACCCCATTCATAATAAAACAATCAGCAATCATTCCGATGTTTTATGAATCATCTCAGATCTCAGCCGCCTCGCTCTAAAAGTAAGACAGTGCCTGTTCCCGCATCAAGAGCCTTTTCTTCTTCATGCGACGGTTCTGGAACCAGATTTTGACCTGTTGGTCCGTGAGATTGAGCTGGTCCGACAGTTCCCTCCTCCGCTGTCGAGTGATGAACTCATTGAGGATAAACTCACCCTCTAATTCATTCAGCTGAAGCTTTGAATAGGGTTTACGCTTCTTTCGGGTGTGTGTGTGAATTGGGAACCACAGCGCACCTTAGAAAAAAATAATGTTTGTTTATGTTTGCAAGACAAACGCACAAGCAACGAAATTCACTTATTTGAAAGTGCACATTGACCAACTCCTTTTAGAGAACATGCATGATTTATCTTCAAGATCCCCCACAGCAAGTAATTTTGCTTTTAAAAGACGTCTAATAGCCGTCCAAACACAGCCCTGACGTCAAGGCTAAAACAAGAAAAAATTTGGGCTGTCAGTGAAAATTTAATAACCATAGCCCAAGAATAGCAGTCATCAATTATAACATGTCAAATAAATGAAACCAAACACCTTGTAATCACTGTTGACTTTGCTTACAAGATGGAATATCATACATCTCGCAAGTTATTTTGGCAAAAACGACATGCAACCACATTCAAGGTTATTTTGGCTAGAAGTGTGTTACTCATAGCCGGACTATATCGGGTAACTGAGACGGTGAAATGATGGCTATTGCTTGCTGGGTCATCTTCTCATCTAAACACAACACTTTATAAAGACTCACCTCCGTGTGTGGCAGTGTGGATGTCAGGGGATGTCAGTGGACTCGTGATGCCCGGTGGGGTCTTGGACCCTTCCATAACGAGTGAAGAACCAGAATCGGATTCAAGGGACCGACACGATGGAGGATTTAGGGTTAAATGTTCGGCAGTTGTTAAGTAGTCATATTTGGAGTAACTTCCTCCGTTGTCCATTCCGTTCAGATTCTTCAGTCCTGACACTGATGAGTTGTCCAGTTTAAGACTGGTATTGTTATTGTCACCAGCACCGCTGGTGGCGCACGCACTCTCACTATAACAACATCTGTGTTCTTCCTGTCGAGGAATGTCGCATGATTGAGTGTATGTGCAGTTTAGGGAAACATAAGATTGTGGGTATCCAGTACATGGTTCCGATGTGTTCCAAGACAAAGAGCAGACATTGTGTCTTCTTGAGGTTTCTATCCCTAGCGATTCATCCGACGCACGGAAATTGGAGAGATAACACGCATCTCTAGTATGAATGTTATCCAATTGTCCAACAAACCCGGGATTAAGGAGATTGTGCTCGCCCATTTTGGCGGGCCCGAATAGGAGTTTATAGTTTATAGCAAATTAGACATTAACGTTTGGGGAAACCAGGCTGAGCCCTATTGGCTGTATAGTGGTCACATGACACTGGTCGCGAGTGAGTTGCAGAAGGAGCCACCCACTGTGTTTCGTGTCTGACAAAGTATTAACTTGGTTTATTAGTTTTTTTTATTATTATACTGTAATGCCTTTTATACTGTTCACTTCCAAAAGAGATTTTTTTTAACTCAGTAGGCTAGCCTACTGAATATCCCGGTAGCGTATACGTGATTAAAACTATTTACAGATTTGGATGCATTGTTTTTAAATATAAATATTATTTGTGATTTAAAATACTTTTTACTACTTTTTATTGTTTATTATTTTGTCAGCAAAACAATCTCATCTCATCATGCAATGACGAGCATCAGGATTATTTGAAATGTTAAATGAAGTTATGTTGCGCGGCTTTATTTTGACATTTTAACAGTTATCTTTTTAAAGCATCTATCTTAAAACACACAAAGCAAATCCAGGGTCAAAGACATGCTCTCCTCATATTTACAGTATATTAACAGTGGGTTACTCTAAAAAATAATTTATTCCATACATATTCAACAGTGTAATTAGATTCCTGTACTTATTTCTCTCTCTAAAAAGTATTGAACTCTCTGAATCCGTTATCAACCTCGAAGAGTTGAACAAAACAAGGATAACTGCTCTTTTAATTCTTTCAAATAAATAATAGAAGACATAAATTATTCTTGAACTGACCAAAGTATTTAAGAGAGGTTACATGAAAACATACATTTTATCATTACACGTTAAATTTTTAGGTTAAATTTACTATTGTTTTATATAGAATTTAATTAAATTTCAGACTAAAAAAAGTCAGATTAAAAGTAATCCCTTACTTTACGTTTTCAAGAGAAAAGTACTTAATGCACAATACCAAACACTAATAACAGGCTATATTTGCATTAACTACACCCCCTCACAAATACATTTGGAAAAAAATTACATGCAAGACTTATCTCTCAAATTACATTACTTTAAAACCAGATACAGGTTTCCTTTCAGTGGTTTTAACTCAAGAGTTGTTTAGTCAGTCATTTTATTAAAGGCAGAGAGCGTCCATTATGTCATTGTGCCATCATCGCCATTAAAGTCCATCTTAAGTGCGAAGCATAGAACATCAAATTAAGAGTAATTGAAAATTACACACAGGAAAGTCGCATCAACATCATTCATCCCTTTAGTGTGTATTCCTCATAAACAAATATACATTATACACAGTGTTTCATGGAAATGTATAGCCAGCCAATCATGTCGTTTCAAACCTAAACCTTTCGTTCATCTTCAGAGCGCAAATGATTTTATTTTTATTTTTTATAATTTATTATCATTTTTGTGCAAACAACACATGCATGTAGGCTACGCAAAACAAACACACACAAAAAAATATATATATCAAACGCAATCCATGAATCGAGTTTTTTATTCCAAGACTTCTGATAAGCAAGTCCAGGTCTTGCAATTAATTAAATGAACGTGAGTAGGCCTATACAAATTACTAAATTTCCTGCCTTAACATCTTTTAAAATAGAGTTTTTCTCATTATCTTAACCAGAAGTGTAATATGTTAGGAAACCTGTAATGGGCTGCCGCATGGGTTCCTCTGTTGTCCTGAAGCTTCCCACTGGTTTGTGTCGGTTCAAGGTCACTGTCTAGTAGCCTACATGTGTGGGACACATTTAACATCTCGGATTCTGTGGACTTGAATCACACTAAGGTCGCATTCCTTCCATGACCTTCTCTAACACCAGACTTCACCCTGATTTTAAAAACATGTAACGATCATCCATTCTTGAAACTGCGGCCGATCTAACCTGATTATCTAAACCACAATCTTTACAAGGATATACGGCTAAATGTAAAGTTATGCCTAGAAAAATAAATAAATTTAATAGATTATACTTTTCGAAAATATTTAATCCAAATTATCATCGACATTAAGACCGTTTTAAGAAATTTTAAAGGAACACTCCGACTTTTTGGGACTTTAGCCTATTCACATTATCCCCCAGAGTTAGATAAGTCCATACATACCTTTTTCATCTCCGTGCGTGCTATAAGTCACCGCACCCACCGCTAGCCTAGCTTAGCACAAAGACTGGATGTAAATGGTTGCAGCTAGCATACTAATCCAAATAAGTGACAAAATAACACAAACATTTTCCTATTTACATGTTGTGATTTGTATAGTCACAGAGTGTACAAAAAACGAAGTCACACGAGACACAGACATATTTTAACCGTATAAATACTGGGAACTATTATTTATACAGCACCTGAGACGCGCTCTCTCCTCACCACGGCGCGTCTCAGGTGCTGCGGTTATCACTCCGCCCAAGTAGCAGTGCTTCGCCTTCAGAGAATATAGTATAATAATAAAATAGGCTATATCTATAGATATTTCAAATATGCACCCTTGTGTTTTGGGTCTTGTGAATTATCATCCATCGATGCATATGATGAAACTTTGTGTGTGTGTGTGTGTGTGTGTGTGTGTCTCTGTGTGTGAGAGAGAGGGACATGGAGGGAAGAGACAGAAACTATCAACATCAACAAAACAAGGACGGACATATAAAATAATGATGCAGTGGAGAATTGGCCTATACACACAATGACAGGAAAGTTGAGGTTATTTAATTGCAAAAGAAATAGGCCAAATAAGCAATAATTTGAATGGAGTAGATCGGTTTGTGCTCTGAGTGTTTTGGTCAATTAAAATTCTGAGTTACAAGCACCTTTTACTGAGGATGTAGCAATTCATTGTAAGCTCACATATCCCCCTTCCCGCCCAGCTCTTAACCTGCACACTTACACCCTCTCTCCACGAGAGGCAGTGATAGACCACCCTATAGGTCTTCTTTTAAAATTGTGCTTTGCAAATGGTCACTCAAAATAGCTCATGGGCCTATATTAATTGCAACACTAGAATTACGGATAATTAAGGATAATAAATAATAGCAGTAAAACGTTTTTTTTACTAACGTGTTTTAAAAACATGTCACTGAGACAATTATCCAGAAGAGAATCCCGTATTATCATTCAACAAACAAACATTCAGAAATCACATTTTACTGTTGATGGATAATTGTATTAATATGAACAACTGTCGTGCAACCATGAGGATTTCTTGTAGTCTTGGTATAGGCCCTTCACAATATGTTAAAATGGAACATTCATGGAAATGCTTTAATATGACCAAACTGTTTAGTCATTTTTCAGCTTCAAGGCACACTTAACCATGTCGACATCAGTATATAGACTACAATGGTCTACTTGTTGTCTATGGTCAACCAGCACACAGTCCATATTCATGGTAGCCTGTTAATCTGCAGTCCGTAGCTTTTTTGGGGTTAAAAATTCCAAAATACATATTTGAGAAAATACCAACGCTATCTCACGACCAATTCGTCCGAATTTGACGAGTGATTAAAAGATGGCTAATTCGTACGAATTCTTCCGACCTCATTCGTACGAATTTGTACGATTTGTCTAAACCCACGTGATGGGTAGGTTTAGGGGCGGGGTCAGGGGTAGGTCATTCGTACGAATTCATACGAATTGGGCAACTCGTCAAATATGTACGTTTTTAGCAAAAATCGTACTAATTCGTACGAGTGAGGTCGTACGAATTGTTACGAATTAGCCATCTTTTAATCACTCGTCAAATTCGGACGAATTGGTCGTGAGATCGTAACAGCAACGTGTTCAAAACTATCTGCTTGCCTTAGCTCGATTCAAAACGGTAAGCTTAGTAATGTTTTTAATTCCAGTGGTACTGGTGGATTTCCGCGGGAGATTCGAGCATGTCTTTGCGTCATTACGTCACATCTGTACACATAAAGAAAGAGTCTCGGCTAGAATAAGGCTATATTGCGTGTGAGGATGCTGGAGGTGGAGATTTACAGCCTTTTCTCACAGCACTTGATATAATTAAACTTATCAATTTGATGGCGGATCCAGAAAGGTTCAAACGACAATCACCAGTGACAACTAGAGATTCACCCGTTGTAAATGCAAGAGACTTCGTTCGGACTTCGGAGCGGCTACAGAAAAAAAGAGACTGCAACCGACCGAAAACAAGGATACATATCGGAAGGACATTACATGTAGTCACGCAATGCTGACGTTGTTAACATTAACAATTTGAGAACTAAGTATAATTTCCACGGTTTTGCGTGATATGATAACTTATAAGCGATTGTTAGATTTAATCAGCGCGATTTACTGCAAAGTCAGAACCAGAACAAAAGTGGATGTTTCTTACTAGTTCAGATGACATTTTCCGGTGAAAATTCTTATGTTGGTCATACTTCCAAAAAGAATAATCTGTGATTGCGAATGACAGTAGCCTATCCACACCGGCGCGGTGACTGACAGCCACACACTCTCCTCAAACACTGTGTTCATCCGCGTTGTGCGGTGTCGAACTACAACTCACGTAGAGTTAATGATTCCGCAAATAACTGCATTTGAAGATTTCAAACAGAGATAGCGACAAAGAGGAAAAACTGCGGACTGCAGCTTTAAAGTGGTATACATGCTGATGAGATCATATAGCAGAACAAATTTTAGAAATATAGACTACCTGTGTGAGAGTTTTGTTTGTTAAAAAAGTGGGATAATCTCAACGATCAATTATTAACCAATATTTTGGTCAACTTTCTTGATTTTAGCTATTCATAATATAATATAAAAACAGATTTTGAGGTAAGAATGATTTTTTTTTTGGACCAAAAATATATTTTGTTTACTTAAACTTTTGCATATAATGTAATTTAACTATTAGAATAAATTGTTGTTTCTCAAGCAAAATGTGACGCATGTTAACCTGCTAATTTCAAACAGAAATAGGGGTTGATAAACACTGCATGGCTGACAGGGGTCATGTTTAAACATCTTTAAAAAGTGTTACAACCATCCCCTTACATAAAAAAAGAACAGTTTGTTTTTTATATATTTTTTTCAGAATGCCTAAACAATGAAAAAAGACAATTAATGTCTGCCAATGTTTAAAAAAAGAGAAACTGATGAGGTTTCATTGAAGGGCAGGTCAGTCAGATCAGTTGTGGAAAGCCTGTGATGAGGATTCTTCACACAATGGCAACTCTTTTCTGCTGTTTGTATGGAGCCTTTTGGCCACTCGAAGCAAAAGGAAGTGTGGGTAAGATGTGCCGTCTGCAGTCTCTGTCCCACCAAACCTGCACTGCAACATTCACTTGTTGTTAACAACATTTACTTGTCACTATCCTGACTCTGATTGAGAATATTCAGAGTCACTAACTCAATTTACAATCTCAAACTTTGTTAGACCTATAGTTCACAGGAGGCGTTGAGTGTTAAGCATATTTAAGCATACATTAAGCATAAATACTGTCAAGGAAGTTTGTTCTTTACACACACACACACACACACACACCTCAGTGATTGAGTCATGCCCAGTCACAGGGAGAGAGGAGTTGTGATTGTTATAGATTGTTTTAAGAAACCTATTTTTGAAGCATATTGTATAATGAGGCCTTTGTTTTTGCTCCTTTTGTTTAATTGTTACATAACTTACTCCCGAATGTGTTACACCCTGTTCCGTGATTTTAACAAAGGCACATCATGTATTTGACATCAACTCATATGGGCTGTGATATTCTTGCAGAGAGTTGCCTTTATAAAGAAATGTGGATATTTTGTGTAAAAGCAGTCTAGCTCAAAAATTCTGTGAGTTACAGATATAATCTAATAGAGTTTCTCCAAAGCTTCGTTTGGCAATATGGTTACAAACAATTTCCGTCGTTACCAACATTATTCACCGATTTAACCTTTACCATAGTCCCAATGAACATTTGCAAACTGCATGTGTGGTGTGTAGAAGCATGTTTCTTGTTAGTATGTGCCAACATGCTAACATATATATATATATATATTTCATTCGATTTAAATATATACATTTCAACCCCAGAGTGAGACGTAAGAGCGATGAATTTAAAGCAACACCAAGTAACTTTTCCTTTGCCGTCGCCCGGTTGGAAGCGGAATTGTCCATTACCTCTGTCATAAATAATTTAGCCTACCCAGCCTACTGTCGCACGCACGCTCATTGTTTATCAGCACCGGCTTTGGAATGAACGATGTCCACAGACAAGGTATGTTGCATGATTTCACGAAAGTATGATGTATTGCGACATCAGAAACGAAGAAAAACAAAATAATGACTATTGTAATGCTTGATGTAAAGCAAGTCAAATTTGTAGTTTTCTTATGTCTCATTAGAACTACAGAAACGCGAGCCGATCTGGCAATCATACATAGGGTGGTTATAGCAGAAGTGCCTTTCACCCTGTTACGACTTAATGAACCACTGAAACGATTTTGAAAACATTATTTCAAGGTAAAAAATCTTACTTAGTGTTGCTTTAACAGACACACACACACACACACACACAAACACACACGAGGAAAAAATGTCCCCACACGGATTTTTGATATTGTTATCATTGTGGGAACCCATAATGGTTTACCAGTCCAGGACACACACACACACACACACACACACACACACACACACACACACACACCGCTCACGCATAGACTGAAAAAATACTGCATTGGAGAGCGAATATGGATATGAAACCTGTATAGAAACATAGACAAGTTGACATCATTTAAACGTACAATGACTATAGAGTAAAATATTTTACATATAGCGGAACGTATGTTTGATGTTCACATTTCAGTAATAAGTGGATAATAAATATGTTTCTCTATAGGCTTTCGTTACGGACAGTCAAATGCATCCATGGCCTGCCATTTCATAACTTAGGCTAAGGTTTGTTTCATCTCAGTCAATCATAGTACAGCATAAGATGACAAACATCTGGAAATTGACGTGTGCGAAAATTTGACACATAAATAATTCCTGCTTTGTCAACTTATTTTCTGCACATTATTTTCACTTACATGCAGTATGTGTTTTTGTGTGTTTCGTGGCCCATTAATAAAGTTCTGATATGATCTCCACTCTTCACGTATAGGCTAGGCCTATGAAATTGCATGAAAATATTGCGGAATAAAAGCGTTGAAAGGAGAAAAGAAGGATTTCTTTTGCCGTACAGTACATCACTATCAACAAAGCATATATGTAAACACGCCTTAACATCAATTCAATACGTTTTTTATAAGACACAAGAACCTCGCATGTATGCATGCTATAAAATGGAACAAAAACGCTAAGAAGGAAACATTGCTGCAAAGCCGACAATAAACAATTCATGGATGGATGACATCATACGTTGTGATGGACTTTTGATGATTTTGCTACACATATTAATAATTAACATGCCAGTTGCTTTTGAAAGTCACAACCTTCTGTGATAGAACAAATATAGGCCTACACAAACAAGGCAAGAAATACCAGTAGGCATGATTTAAAATCTGTCACACCATAGACGGCTAATTATAAATAGCAGTGAGCAGTTTAACAGCAGCAGTCTTGTTTAGGCTATAGCTATCAAACGCCAAACCAACGAATCTGATGGGCTGATTGACACGTGTATTATGGGGTAAATCTTCAGTGAAAATGAACAATCATCAGACCTCTTAAGCATTCCAGATTACGTAAACGTAACTCATTCTTTAAAATAAGATGAATGATGTTGTGACTCCTCTCTGGAATGTATCTATTGCTGCATTGTAGGCTACTAAAACTGTAAAGTAGGCCATGTTTCATTACACAAGAGTGTGTTCAGATGGCAGATCCGTAGGTTTTTTTTCTGCTTGAATGATGAAATTTTTGGCGCAAACAACTCGACGATAATCACATAGCATGGATGACTTTGCTTGGCGTTGGTTTACACACGAACTTCTTCTCCTTAACCCGGCGGTTCTGGAACCAGATGGTCACCTGGCGTTCAGAGAGATCGGTAGTGGCGCAGATCCTCCTTCTCTTGTCTTTAGTGATGAACTTGCTGGCTTCATACTCTTTCTCCAGCTCCTTTAACTGAATCTTAGTGTACGGAACCCTCTTCTTACGACCGCGACGATATCCGTTCATCTCGGTCTGGTGCGGCATAACATCTGCAAACAAATAGTTTAAGGCGGGAAGAAAATCTTAGAAATCACTTGCCAATGTCAAGTACAATCTCTGTCAATGTCTCCTGACTCTCAAACATAGCAAGTAAAATTATTGGTGAATGAAACTGTGACCAAAATTCTGACCAAGAGTTTAAAGATTTAATGCCGTGACCCTAGGCCTTTATGAGATTATTTGTTGTCTGTGAGTCATCTAATCTATAATCTTATCGTCGTTGGAATAAGAAAATTGTTTGTTTTAAATGAACGTTTTCAAATGGTTTGGAAATGTTTATATTTGAGCTGATACAAACACAAGGGATTTAAGTGAGAAATTCTAACTCCAACACTCACTTAGGCCTATAGGCATAACTGAGAAAGCCTATTGGTGAAACCCGAACGACCATAAAGAATAATCGTTAGTCGTTAATTTTCAATTAAATGTTCTTTAAGTAAATCAGCACATCTTGGTCCTCATAAGAAAAAGCTCCACTCTTCTCCACACAGTGGTTTTAAACAATTGCAACATTATTATTGAACATTAAACCCCCTTTTCCAGCACAATAGAACTTAAATTCAACATTCAACATTTTAAGTCCCATGTAAAGCACGCTGAAACTACAGTTGTACCGTCGGTTCATATTCGCCCTATACTTAATTTAATCTAAGCCTAGTAGATTATAGAATTACACTACTCTGAAGCAAAAAAAAAAAAAAAAAAACCAAGAAGAGAAACAATTTAGTTATGATCACAAATAATATGATTTAGTCAATCGGACAACCTGTTTGTAGTAAACTATTATTTGTCAAGGCAGAATAGACAGACGTGATATTTAAAATGATCACTTGTCCAAATATTGTACATTTGCAGACAAATTTGTTTTACTTTAACATTAACACGACCAAAACCAATCAATGAGGTTTCTTTGTTTTTTTTTTTAACTGCAATTGGGTGAGCGTGAGTCCTGATTGGTTACTTGCAATATTAAGAAAAAAAATCGTATACAGAGCTATTATTTAAGCAAAACGCATTTTTATAAAAAGGTAATATTTCAACTGAAGTTTACATCCGCTACAGTTTAAACTGACACCTGCCAATCAAAATCTCGGTTAAAAAATAATCTATAACTACGGAAAATCACTAGTGTAGCTATAACAAAAACAAGGGGGCCTACAAGAACATATATAAATTATATTTAAGATTGGGTGACGATAAATTAAATTTCCTAATATTTTTTTCTTCACAACTCCTAATTGCCCCCTCTTAAACTCCAATAGGGAAAGTATAAATTAGTGTGTAACACAAGCATTTCAAACATGAATACCAATGCCAAGCTTGATCATATTTGCTGATATTTCATTTTACCCGAAAACTGGGAATTCCATAGGTAGTTAAAATGTGTTTGTTCCTTAGAACAATATAGTTGCTCATCCCAGCCGTTCGATAGTGCCCAGTGCTGATAACTGTCCGGGAATAAAGTTTCATGCCGGGACTCTGGGCGCGCGCTGATTCCTGGTATAACCGGGACGTCCAAATACCCGGGCACAGACTTATAAGAGCTGGCAAAGCTTGGGTAAACAGCGTATTCTTTGGATCTACTGGAAAGCTCTTCAGATGGTTGCACACCGCTTGGTTCCACGTATTTTTCCCCAGGATGGAAGGAACATGGATTCTGTTGCAGGTTTACGTTGTGAGAGTACGGAAGTCGACATCCATAATATGGACTCCCGAATGGGTATCCATAGCTCAGGGATGAGCCTGATGAGGTCTGTGGCGCAGGGATATCCGAGTACACTGTCCGGTGGTTCCCAGAGAGGCGTCCCAGTGCAGGGTGCGGGATAAAATCACTGCAGTGAGAGGCAGGACAGCTCCCGCTCAGTCCCTCCATGCTTTTGTTTGTTCATCCGAGGTTTTTTTTTTTCATTACACGTAAAACAATGTGTCCGCCCAGCGTCCACGCAGAATCAGCGGAATCATCATGCGTTGCTTTTTAAAACTAGACTGACACCTCACTTCCAAGCTCATTTTCTCGGTGCACGCATGCGCATTGTTAAACCCTGATGACTGACACAAGCTGTCAAGATGAAGCGGTTTTCTTAGAGGAGAAGAAGATGCATTTCTCTCTTAATATCACTGACGAAAAGAGTCATAAAAAATGAGAAACTTGGTGGATGGCTTGTAAATAGACCTATATATCAAGCAAAACGGTTTATTTTTCATAATTATTCCAAGAACAAATACATATTCGAGAATCGTTTATTGGAAAGGTTAATGCATTGTGAAATTATGATAAATCAATTAAATTAAGCCTAAAGTTTTTGCAGACACTGAATGCAAATGTTATACTGCAAATGTGTGATATTTGTTCGAAGAAACTTTTTTCTTGTTTTATAACGCTGTCTGGCAAACAAGCTAATTTGGATTAGAAAAGTTTCGTTAAACGTTCTGCTACTGAGGGAAAAAACCCCCACACATAATGTATTAAAGTTCTGTAGCTCAAGATTCCTTAGCCCGTCGAGTGTTTGACATTGTTTTACACAAACACTTACTTATCAGTTACACGCTACAAAAGTTACAAAAACACGCTAATGGGATTGTCTGCAGCATGGGAACTGGGGATTCGATGAAGTGTCTCAGTGTGTTCAATGGGGATATAAGTAATAAAATTACAAAGAATATACGTGGAAGTAAGAATAGTTCTCTGAGTTTAGAGAACTCCATAACCCACCCTATCTCTGTATATTTCGCTTGTGTAACATCTAAATAAATTGGTTTCACTTAATTCCGAAATACTGGTAGGACAACTGTAGGTTAATTTAAGGGTTAGATCAAGTAAATCGCATGCACATTCACAATATTTATTTATAATTTGCATATTCAAAATCAAAAATATGCAAACACCTTATATAATAATTAACCAGAAATAATACAAAAAATAGTAATAGTCATAATAAATAAAAAAGGAGGTAATCGGTATGCCTAACATAATTTAAAGTTTACAAACACCAAGATTAATTTCGTAGGACTTCACTTCACATTTTAGTTGTGCATGTTAATTGCACGGAACTAGGCTACTGAGTATAGTTAAAGCATAGGCCTACAATTCGATTAAGAGTACAGTTGACTGTGGTAGCGCAAGTAGCCTAAATAATGGTAATCGTCCAAATGCCACCAGCTGCCTGCAAGAAAACCCAAGGTCAAGGTGGAAACAGACAAAGAGTGTCGTAATACGTCTAGACAGAAAGAACGAACTTCACACTTACATTGTCGAGTTCACGTGCACTATTGTCCTCAATGGTTACCTATTCTTTATCTTTACACTATAATCATCACGGGTTGATCTCTACCAGAGGGACCTCCGATTGAAACTTAAAATATAATATTAAAAATATATTTAGACTTTAAAGTTCCTTTTTTAAAGTAGTTCCGTCAACAGGCCTCTAAATTCCTTCAGAATTTGCCATGTTAAAAGTGTCCAAATTGTTACACTTAACATTGAATTTACATTGAAAGTTATATATAGCATTATATCAATAACAAAATGTATTAAGGTCAATGTTAATTTATGAATTATTGTTTGCTCATAATGCATCAACGAATGTAAAGTTAGCCGATGTATAATGCATTTTAAAATATGTAGAAATGATCAAATTAACTTAAAATGCTAAAATATATTGTTCATTACATTATATCAACATTTTAAATACAGATACAGATTTGCTTTATACAAATTTCTCATCCTTCGGCGTGACATGTTAAAATAATTGTGCGGGAATTTAACCATTTTTAACAAGAATTTAACAAGAAATAGGCTATCACAAAAATATGAAGAAATATATTAGTAGCCTATACCCTTTTAATATCATTGACAAAAAAGTCGCAATTACGATTTCGTATGTGATGCTTATAAGAAAACGTATTTGTAATCGTCAAGTCAAGTCAAGTCACATTTATTTATATAGCGCTTTTCACAATACAGATTGCATCAAAGCAGCTTCACAGTGATAACATGAAAGTAGTACAACACAGTTCAATAATATTGTTGAATATTAAATATTAAATATCCCCAACTAAGCAAGCCAAAAGCAAGGCGACAGTGGCAAGGAACCAAAACTCCATCAGATTGGATGGAGAAAAAAACCTTGGGAGAACCCAGGCTAGTCAGGGGCCAGTTCTCCTCTGGCTAACAATCATAGCTTTACAGTAAGTGCATATCAGAAAGTACCTGGAAAAAATACATTTAGTTATCATGTAATATTTAGGGGATAACATATCGCCGGCGTTGAGTCGTCTCTTCGCAGGCGTTGAGTCGTCTCTTCACAGGCGTTGGTCTTCTCATCACAGGCGTTGAGGCATCCGAAATCCCCGTGAGAGGCAGGATACCAAACTGGAGCCTACGAACGCCATTTTTCTCGGGACAAGCGTCCCGAGATAACAGCAGAAAGGCAGATGGGAAAAAAAAATTAGCAATCGTTAATTAGTAATTTAATAAGCAATCGTTAATAAGTACTAATTTTATTACGATTACAATTAGTAATCGTAATAAAATAGAAAATATAATAAAATTAAATTAAACTAAGCATGGACCAGGATCCCTAATTTCACCCCTAAAGACAACCATCATTGGGGGCATACTGTAATCATACGAATTCGCTGCAGAAACGTATTGTTGTGAGGCTTTTCCACCGCAAATTGTCTTTACGAATTCTCGCTTAAATTGAAATATTTTAGTTAGACGTGAGATCGTTCAAATATATTCCAATATTAGTAATAAATAAATATATAAATGAATCACGCAAAAACATAAAACGGCTAATTATAGCCTACAAGTTGTAGATGTTTAACTGTATAATCACGACCATTCTTTAAATTACAGGATCAACTAAATAGCTAAAACAGCCCTTCAGCCTTTGCTCAAACCACCATAAGGATGCCTGTCTGCAGAAGTCCAAGTTCAAGTTAAGGGATCTCTGTCCAGACTCCAGACCACACAATGGTCGTCAAGCTAAAGCTCTTTTTAACTCACTATAGGATCTTCAGAGGATGGCACCGTAAAGATGGCTGACGTAATAAAAAGTCGTATATGTTTCAGGACAGAACTTTGCTGGGGTGCGGTCTGCAATGATAAAGATTTGCAAATTGCATTCATGACTCAAAGGATTCATTTAATAATAATATTAATAAATAATTGGCCGTTGCCAATAACTGGCCAGAGATGGCCAGAGATGAGCAGATGGTATTTTGCAGCAACACTAGTTTGCACTGGAAAAACTACACAATAGGTTAAAAATGTATTTTAAAAGGCACGAGGTTAAACTGATTACAGATTTTTAAGCATGCAGTAGCTATCTGTTATTTGAGGACATTCCACTGAGCTACACATTAAATTCAAAATGTATTTGTACTTTACACATTTATATGGACATCTCGCAGACTATGTTTCGCCCAGTTGTGTAAATCAGCTAAACGAATAAGGTTTCATCTCCGAAGTCAAATTAAAATACCACGATACTATACGTCTGACTCTGAATACATTCTCTTCGATAAATATAGAACATTAAACATGATATGAAACACTTAGGACTATACAGTTGTTGGTCAAATACAGTGCAATGCCCCAGCAAATCCCTGGGAGTTTCAAATAACATATTTGTTTAAATATTTTGTAATGAAGCCTTATGAGCATTTTTTTTTGAGCGCCATTTTCTTGTTCCAGCTAGTGACACGTTGTTTCACTATATTAGTGAGGACTATTTCCATAGTTTTTAATATTAGGTTTATGAAATATAAACATAACACAGAATCTGTGAAAATAATACATTTAGATATAAACTTGATTTAGCCAATTTATAAGCCACATCTAGATGAGGACATCGGGTATAGGCACTGCTTTTAAGGCAGAGTTTCACTGTGTGGCCCTCCGAAGCTGTGGGTTAACAGGCGTGTAATACGCACGCACTCCCCACCCCCCTCCCCCCTAAACCTACCCAAGGGGTTTTCAGTGCGTAGCATATGCACGCAAAAACCATTTTTGGCGTATAAATGGCACGAGAAATGACATTCGTGGTATAGATACGCACTTTCATGAGACTGTGTTGGCAATTCAGGGATTTTATTTGGAAGCCAGAATTTTTTTTATATCGGCAATGGCATGTATGTTACACTTGATTTCTGCGATGAAGCTACAGGATTGTTTGTAAAGCTGCCATTGTTCAGCATTCAAAATGCACTGCTTTTATTATGACAGTTAGAAGAATCCATTTAAGAATCATCTGATGAGCTAGCCTACTTTAATAAGAAATGTATTTTGTGTCATTTAGCCTATGGCTTAGGCTATTTTTAATGGGATTTTGGTTAAATGGCTGAAATAAGTTATGCGGTGAACACAAGCTCAAGACACTTTCACGTTTTATTCTACAACATAAAATACATAAGTATTACCCCACTCGTGATTTTTTAAGATGTTACGTGTCTTGAAGAAAAGACGCTCAGCAAGCAATTTTGCGTTTAAAAGTAGCCGTCCAAACACAGCATCAAGGCTAAACAAGACAAAATTTAATAGACGTCTAAACCATAGCCCAATAATAGATTAGTCATCAATTAGATAACAAATAAATGAAATGAGTGAAGAAATGAAACCAAACACCTTGCAATCACTCTTTACTTTGCTTACATGATGGAATATCATATATCTCACAAGTTATTTAGGCAAAAATGACATGTAACCAAATTCAATGTTATTTTGGCTAGAAGTGGGTTACTCTAGCCGGACTATATCGGGTCTATAGTTAACCTAGACGGAGAAATGACGGCTATAAGGGCTATTGTTTGCTGGGCCGTGGCTAACAAGTGGCTAAATGGCTGTCGAGGAGATTAAACATCATCATGACGAAAAGGTAAACTCAGACCGCTTTGACAATATCCTTATAATTGTGCCCTTATAAACTTTTCTAACTCAAACTTTATGTGAATTTTTTTTAGATAAAACTGAAAGTCAG